TCACCCATTATTATCAATGCATCTTGGTTGCATGTTCGATCAATCTCCGATTGTAAAAGTTGGTAAAAATCTTCTATCTCCTCTTCCTTGGCTCTGGTTGGTGGTGCATCGGAGATTGTTGATAGATAAGAAAAAAAAGAGCAGAGAAGGGTCTGTTTTTGTTCTTATGTTTTGACTTTGGGGCCTAGTATATGGAAATCACAGTGTTTTGACCAGTGGCAATACAGAATGAATAGTCAAATGGGTCTGTCAACTTCCCAGGAAACTTCCTTCACATCCTTTATCTCACTCTGGTTTACACCACTTCGGGTAGTCACTGAGGGAGCCAGTGGTCTAGTGGGTAGAGAGCTGTACTGCTATAACCTCAAAGGGGTGTCTCTTTGGTTGTTTGAATCCACCATTGGCTCTATGGGAGGATCAGCTATGAGTTGATGGCAATGAATCTGAGTTGTCTCTGAGCTTCTATTTAAATCAGTGTAATCCACAATTCCAATTACATACACAGAGTACTCAGAGGGTAGAGTGAAACATAAACGATTAAAAATCTAAAATGTCAGTTTGACCAGAAAAAGATATTCCTTTAGGAATGGTATGTAAAAATGCTGGTTGTTTTAATGAGTGTTACTTAACATAGTTATTAACATAGTTCCATGTCATCTCCAGTCCTAAGAAACAGAGTTGACAAGCCAGTTTTGTATGAGTCAACAAAATTCTTGTAGGAAGACATCAGTAATTTTAAAGTTACTAATATATTGGACGACTCTGGTTTTCAGGGTATCAGAAACCCACTTACTTTGATTAGTTTATGGAATAATCCATACATGAGAAAATTTAAGAAATACTATGTACACATCATCATAAGAATTTTAAGACATAAGTATGTATTCACCCGCCAACCTTCTGCTAATAGCTAAAGCTGTTCTCTGACATTCATGCTCCTGTTTTTTTTGTTAGCTACAGCTACAAAGTATTTCCTATTTCCTTCTCTTTACTGCAATAACTTGTTACTCACAACACAATTAGAGACCTTCCAGAACACCACTCCCTCCCTCCCTTTCTTTTATCATTTCATTCACATTAAATTTGACAATAACAAAAATATTTTGCAACTCACTAAATATATTCTGCAAAATTAAAATTCCTTTTCACATTAAGCATATGTCAATGGCTCACACTGTAAATATATTTACTCATTAAAACTTCAGGAGCACACCCTAGAGGATCCACTTACCATCAGTCGCTTTCTTTTTTAAAAAAAGAAAAATAGTATTTTCATTGTTGCACATTTTCTTCACACCCTTCTCCCATCCCT